GCAGAAAAGGTGGATCTACTGAAATACACTGTTGAAGGGAGCAACAGGAGAAACAGGAGAGGTCTGCTGGTAACATGGGTATATACATTTGTCAAAACTGATCAAGTTGGATATTTAAGATATTTTATCCCAGGCCAGTGGGGGGATGGAACTCGTGTTGCAGTGGCTGGTGATAGCTTAATAGTGCTGTCTTTAACCCCTGTGCCACCAGGGAGGCCCCACTTCATGACTTTTCTGACAACACAATAGATACCATCCATCACTATACATAGCTACAAATTATTTTTCTTAAGATGTTCTCTCAACAACTTTCAAATATACAAAAAGTGTTGTTAACTATAGTAACCATGCTGTATATTATATCCCCGTGATTTATTTACTATGTAGTTAGGGAAAAAATGTCAGAAATTAACAGAACCTTCAAAAAAAGACTGCACCTATGGGACTTCTTCCTGTATTATATCTGGTTCAGGGATGGGGAGTCAGGAAGACAGCTCTCCTTGACCTACACTCAAATCCTGCAGAGGACATTCTAGATAGAAAGTGTAGTAAACAAGCAGGAAAGAATACATAAATGGGCTAGACTACCCAAGAGTCCAATGAGGAAACTAACCAATTGGTAGGAATCAAAGCTGCCCAAGTAAGAGTTTGGGGTTTTTAAAGCTGGCCAAACTGATCCCCAACAGGATTTCTAGAGTCTGCTATCATCTCTCATACCAAATTCCTACTTTAATATATATCTGCCTTAGTGATTCACTCTAACAAACAAACATACACTTTTTACACTGCCTGAAGAAGTAGGGTGTTGCTATGGTTGCACAGGTTGTGCACTGCCCAACTTTAGAGGACAGACCACAGCTGTGGCAGCCCTGGGAGTACCTAAAAGCTGATCCAAACCTAGATGGCCTCTTTTCATTTAGATTTCATAAGCAACTTCCCTACTCTAATCTCAGGATGGTTTTGCAATTCAGCCTCTTCCTCAAGGCAGGCACGCGAGGACAAACCTCATATATACCAAAGTTTTCAGTCAATGGCTTTCCACTGGTGGGAGGTGAGAAGAATAACAGACATACCTCATGAAGGCACCTGGGCATGCAATTTGCAAATGTTGTAAGAAAATAACAAACAAGATCACAGCAACCACACACAGAGTAACTTTATAAATAGAGCCCCAGTATGTTGTTTAATACACACAGAAGCAGGTTTAGTTTATAGCTTTTTCCTGGGATGCCCATGGGCTAGATACTGAACTTCGGGCTGGTACAGATGGAAATCTCCAGCTCTTCTGGAAGGCTGCTGCAGTTTGTACATAACCCATACACATCTTCCCCAAAACTGGAGTCATAATCCTATTATAAAGGCTACCAAGACCCCTGAATGTTACAGCTTTGGGCCATCTCTTTGCTGGAGAGCTCAGCTACTTACAGAAAGAACTAGGCTGCCTCTGCTGTTGACACCATTGTCATGGCCAATTTCATTATGCCGGCAAATTCCTTCTAGAATCCAACTTTACTATATAAGGCCTCTTTAAAGGTACCATCTGGTTACCCAGAAAACAGCAACAAACCAAAGTCGCAGGTAGGAGTACTTCCAGAGAAGTGTACCGAGTCTCTCCCTGAAGAATCCCACAGTTTTACAGCTCCCAGAGCTACCCACCATGATCATTTACCACACAATGCAATATAAGTTTGCAGGAGAAGGTAGGGAATGGAGCATCTGATCTGGAGTCCATCCTTTTTTTTTTTTTTTTTTTCACATTAAAATTGAATTTGAAAGAAAATTAATCCTTACTGAGTTCCCAATACATTTTCAAATAAGAGAGACTTCTCTCATTATTCCTTTTAACTTTTTAAAATGGCAACATAACTTGCCTACTAAAAAAATTCACCCTTTTAAAATGTACAGTATAATGATTTTTTAGTATATTCTCAGAGTTGAGCAACAATCACTTCTAGCTAATTCCAGAACATTTTCTTCAGCTCAAAAAGAAACTGACACCTAATTTAGTCACTCTTCTCCCCAGGCCACCCTCCAACCTTAGAGTATTGACCCCTTCATGTTTCCAGAGAGTAACTAAGTGCCAAAGGTCTTGTACTGACCTAAAAGTTTAGCAACACAGGTCCCCTGTTATCTAAAATTTATTTGGTATGATTTGCTAAGTTATTTTGGGTTTATTGTTAATTTATATGGAATTTTTTTTAGCATCCAAATAACAGGGGATACTTGGATAGCAGGTGAAACCTGTAACTCAAGGTAAAATATAGGAGTGTTGGCCAAAATGCATAAACCATTACCAGCAGTTACTATGTTTAGAAACAAATGGACAAAACATCCCCTCTTTCCCAAAAGAAGTTCCAGGAAGAAATTTAGGAACATCATATTGAGGAGATTTAAAATAAATTGTAAAAAAAACTAGCAACAACAAATGTTGGCGAGGATGTGGAGAAAAAGGAACTCTCCTGCACTGTTGGTGGAAGTGCAAACTGGTCCAACCACTATGGAGAGCTGTGTGGAGATTTCTGGACCTACTAAACATAGAGCTTCCATATGATCCAGCAATTCCACTCCTAGGTATTTACCCAAAGGACACAGAAACATCAATTCCAAAGAGCACCTGCACCCCTATGTTTATAGCAGCACTATTTACAATAGCTAAGCTTTGGAAACAGCCCAAATGCCCAAAAATAGATGACTGGATCAAGAAGATGTGGTACATATACACCATGGAATATTACTCAGCATTCAAAAAAGATAAACACATGCAATTTGTTTGGATGGTGCTGGAAGGGATCATGCTCAGCGAAATAAGCCAGAAAGAACAAGAAAAATACCGACGGTCTCACTCATAGCAGGAATCTAGAAAACTTAAATAAGGGACCAGGAAAATGAATAACTATAAGAAAGTGAAAATCAAAATCAACAAAAAACTATGAACCAGAGACACTCTATGAGGGGTGGAGTGTGGGGAGGGGAGGGATTTGGGTCAAAAAAAGGGGGTTGCAATTGTATGGGGAATATAAAAATAAAATTTATTTTTAAAAAAAGAAAAGAATAAAATAAATTGTAAGATCACTGTAAAAGCATTAAAAAAAAAGCTTGGAAAGAGGGTCCACTGATTGGAGATCCAGTCTCCCTCTGCTACTCACTTCTTCCACTTCATCTAATCACCTCAGTTAACTTCTCAAGGCTTCAATTTTTCTTATTGGTAAAATGTAGCGGCACCTGGGATAATCATTAAGATCCCTTCCAGCTCTGATAATCAGAAGTAAAACAAATGAACAGCATCATTTCTTTAGGTGAAAAATATTCACCCAAATTCACTGGAAACCACTTGGCGTAAAAGAACATGTAAACCAGAAGAATCAGAAAACAGAACTTTCCAAGGACCTTTGGGGGGGAAAAAAAAAAAAACCACACACAACAAAAAGGGAGGTTGCTTGGTGGACTCTTAAATGTGTTAGATGGCAACCTCCTGACAGTGTAAGGAACTTCGAGAAGCATGACAACGCAAGGCAACCAGCAGCATGGGCGAGCAGGAATTGTTTAGGTTTAACACCTGGGTTTTGTATGATTTATTATTTAACAAAGGATAGGCTCTCGACAAATGCTAGTGGAGAGGGCACTCAACAGCAAACCTGATCATTAGCTAGCACATGAACAAACAAATTCAAAGGATGCTTATGAGACTTTAGGCAATAAAGGCTGAGTTGAGCCTTCACTGTTGTGCTCCAGAGTTAGAACCTGCTGACTCTGCGTGAAGGAGTAAATCCATCATGGGTTATTAAGGACAGGTCCAAGTCTGTGGGCCATCCTGGAAGTCTGACAACTATATTCTCTTACAAAATGTCCCGCAGACACATAACCAGGTCAGAGGACTGGCTTGAATGGAGAACGCAGCATAAACAAACAAAACATGATGGACATTTACCTGTGGGATGAGACCCAAATGTTAGGAGCACCGCACTGGTTCAGACATGTCACATAAAATCAGAAACATTACCCACATCACTTTCAACAGTGCCCTAGGATTCTAGTTCAAATAGTCTGAAGCAGTTAAAAAAAAGGAGGGGGGCGGTATGTGGAGTGGAGTGGTGGGAGCAGGGAAAGGCTGCCTATTGAAGGACATTTAAAATATTAAAATGAGGATAGTGTAGATGAATACTTATGTATTCATCAATAAATACTGGTTTAGGCATAAAAAAAATACAGAAAGCAGTCATTGTTTCTGGCACAGTATAAGAACTGGAAGGGGCTTTAGAAATAATCTGGTCCACCTTTCACTTCATAGATGAGAAAACAGAAACCCCGAGGGCTTGGGCAATGCCATAGGCATAGCAAATATTCTATAAACATTAATTTAAGGAGCATGACCAATAAAATATGTATTTTCAGCCATGCCACATACAGAGATGATTGTTTTATTTTTGGTACAACTTCAAAATCTTTCAAAGTGAAAAACCACAGTGGAAATGTATTGTAGACAATTTCTGAATCTGGATGACAAGGTAAAGGTAAGTTTTGAAACTTGACGCGTTCATCCTAGAATTGCATTGTACAATTGTATATGTATAATATGAAGGTAAAAATTGCATTATAACACATGATTAAAATTATAAAAGGATACTGGTTAACAACAGGGTGAATTTGAGCTTCTTCACCAAATCTTTAGCACTAGAATTGAAGAGCAATTCTGGATGCTTGAATAAGAAATTTTAGAAGACAACCCAAGCATTAGTTTACTTGGCACATTATAAATAAACCTGTCATACATCTGAGATCACACCAGATGAAAACACAGAAAACAATGTTCAAGAGGGGGTGAGAACAAATGCACAGGCCATCCATCCATCATAAGTTATTAAGGACAGGTCCAAGTCTGTGGGCCATCCTGGAAGTCTAACAACCACATTCTTTACAAAATGTCCCTTAGACACATAACTAGGTCAGAGCACTGGCTTGAATGGGCAATGCACCGCAAACAAAGCATGATGGACATTTACCTGTGGGATGAGATGCAAATGCCAGGAGCACCGCACTGGAAAAGAAACAGCAGAGCAGTGAATAAAACTTCCCTGGCACTGAGAAAACAACACACCCTTCCACTTGGAAGGGTAAAATCGGCCCAAAAACAAAGTACCTGTACTGAATGGTCTCCTTCTGCTTAACTCCACTCCTCAGTAAGAGAGGGAGACTCTCTTGACCTGTCTCTGGATTTGGCAAAAGGGTTAGCTCTACTGAGTGACAGAGGATCCAAGCCCCATTGGGGGTCAGCTGTGCCACTAATTATCACACCCATCTCCTTTACAAGAGTATTTATAAGCTAAAAAAAAAAAGCACTAAATTACAAGTATTCTGTACTCTAATCACTAGCTGTTGAATGTGAGTTAAATCTCTTTTTTGCCACAAAATTAACTTCGTTAGGGCCTCCCCAGTGGCGCAGCAGGTTGAGCGCAGTGCTGTGAAGCTGTCTGCAGCCTCCACAGTGCTGGTTCGATTCCTGGCCGGCCAGGGAGAATTCCACATGGCGAGGCAGACCTCTCCTGTCTTGCCCGCTGCTCTCCTCAGCAGTGCTTTTGGTCCGCCTGCCTGTTCTGCTCCCTGCTCTATCTCTGGTGAATCCTCTCACCCTCCCGCAACTCTGGCCTGTACCCCAGCGCTTGTATAAATAAAAATAAAACTTAAAAAAAATTCATTAGAAGTTTAAAAAAGAAGGTAAGTTAAATTTTCAAGAAGCTAGGCTGGAAAATGATGCACTCATCCATGGTGAGCCTGAAAATTGCCTGGACTGACTCACAGTTGTTGCTGAAAAGGATGAAAGGAAGGCGCATTCCTCTGGTGTGGACCACATATGCCCATGGCACTCTCCCACCTCCTGTGCCACCTTCCACAGCCACTGAAAAAACTCCACGTCATCCTGGCAGCTGATCTAATTAGGTTAAGGAATGTTTTGTTTTTGTACTTGCTGGATGTCCTACTCTGGTTCTGAAGCCAGGCTGCATATCCTAAGAGCCAAGAGCCTAGCTGAAGATAGACTCAGAGGGCGTGGTCCCGACCTCAGTGGTTTGTGACTTTGCTCTGGTCTCTGGTCATTTCAACATGCATTGGCTCTACTGGGTGTCACTAGCGGCAGTGCAGAAGAAGACAGTTTTGAGCAGGGAAACCACTGCTAACATATCAGCCCTGTTCTGCTGCTGGCTTATCTCCCAGTACCATTTCTGTTCTCAAGCTCTTCCTTTGCTCCCCTTTAAAGCACAGGTGGTCTGTTGGCTTCCAAAGAAGCAGCATCATGGAAAGAGGCAGCAGGAGGAAGGGTCAGGAGAAAGGCAATGGAGAATGGCACGTGTCTAGTCATTCAGAAGTTGCAGGTGTGTAAGATAGGGTTTACATGTAGCTGTGAAACAGACACACTAAAATGAGACTGGCGATGTGTCCTTCACACGGCCACCTTTGTTTACTTCTCTTCCATCTTTGGAAAACATACCCTGTACTTACTCCATTTTTTTTTCAGTGAATCTCCTTTTGTTTATAATTACGGATAACAGAAGTTATAGCCTCTGCGGTAGGACATAAGGGGCCCCTTCCCTTTCCAAAATATTTCCCAGGGTCTCCAATGGTACCCATACTTCTATTACTGGAATCACCACAAAGGGTAACCCTGAAAGCAAGCATTAGCAATAAAAATAAGAATAATTAAATGAAGACGTTGATTCTGTATGAATTTTGCAATTACAGTGTCACAGCACTTCTAATTCCTATATTGTGTTCTCCTTGGGATCAAAAGACATATTTTATTCATCCTTAGATCCCATGTCTCTATGCCAGACAAACAGTAGGTGTTCAACACATTTTCTGGATTGCAATTAATGATCTCTAGGCATATACGATGGGGATATATTTGAAGAGAACTATAACTTGAAGCCCCCTATAGTTCTAACATGTAAACTCAGAGGAAATCACACTAACATAAAAGGCACAGCATGCCAGAAAAACAGCAAACTTTAAAATTCATGCATTCAACAAATATTTACTGAGTACCTACTAAGTGCCAGGTAGTGTTCTAATATGGAAAGACAGCAAGGAATATAGAAAACATTCATATACTCACGGGAAAATAAAGAAGAAAATGTAAACTCCATGGGCTAGACTCCAATACATCTTTTTTCTTTCAAGTCCAATACATCTTTTTTCTTTCACAAAGGCACGCCCCAGAGAAAATACCTATTTATCTTTCTCTCGCCCCCCCCCACACTTTCATCTATAAAATAATATGAATAGAGACCAATATGGCTATTTTCTATTCAACAATGAGAGACTAGTGTCACTCATGTTAAAAAAAAAAAAAAAGAGACCAGGCATATATCCTATAATATTTCTTTTATAAACTACCTACAATTCTTCAAAATGCAGATTAAGGTGATACCATTTTGTTTTCAGCCCCATATATAACTTTCTCCTTTATTCCTTCCATCACCCTATGCCTCCATCTTGGGTCTTAGCCTTCTATGTATAAAAAAATTCCCAGAATCAGGGTTTGGAACAAACACATCCTCAAGAAAATAGAGGCGTATGTGTCATAGATAGAGAACCATCCAACTACAGGGCTCTCTCAAAAACGGAAAGTTCACACCAGGCCTTGGCCCTGGCAGGCACTTCAGGCTGGCACACACAGGCATAACCATCCCACAGTTCTGAGTGATTGATGCCCTCAGTCTCCAGTGCCCATGGGAAACCCAATAATGACCCTTGCTCTGATTCATATATCTTCATCACTTGTATGGAAAGATCTAAAAATAGGCTGGCCAGCCAGGGGGCCTGGAGTACTGGGCTATCTCTTGGGCAGGGAGCCCCATCTTCACATGAGGTGAAGGAGCTACGAGAAGATGGAAGGACAGGAGAGCCAGCGGGGGGGGGGGGCGGGCTAAAAGGGTATCAAAGAGATTTTCCCATCCCCTTATTGTTCTGCTTCTTGAGTTGGCAATGCTATGTTCTGTGGAAGACAGAACTGTGTACACTGATCTGGAAACATTTTAAACAGCAACAGTCTTCTTCATCTTCAGAAAAGCCTTTTGAAAGAGCAGCTGGTGGATCTGGACATCATGGAACTAAGGACTGTTTCAGCTGAGTACAAAAGAGGTCCACAGTCATGGCTGGGGTGAATCTGCTTCAAACAGGCATTTTAATAAATATTAAGATATGTATGCGCTTTATGTATAAATGGAGTACACAGCTCATGTTCAATTAAAGTTTTAAGCTGAATAATTTCCTCCGGAAACCAATGTGATCAAATACTGAAAGGTATATCTCCAACCCTCACCCTTGTTACTAAAAGTTGCTGCAGTAGGCAAACTTGGGTTCCCAAGAGCAAATCTCACTCTGCCTCTCGTTTAGTTCCATGTAGTGCAGTCTGAGATAGCTAAAATCCAAAAGCTTTCCCCAGCTATTCTGTTTAGTACCAGATCCCTGTTCTTTACTTGATTGGGGCAAGGGTGTACTCACAAGTCCATACACTATACTGACATGCTACAAAGCAAGTCTCCTTAACAACTATCCCTTCACAACAATGTGGAAATCCAGATGATTAAAATTTAGATGTTTCTAAGACCCTAAAGAGGCATGTCAGAATGTGGCAGCATGGGGAGATGCAGTTCTGGTTCCTGGTTCCCAATGGCATCCCCCTTCTCTTTCCAACCCAGGTTCTGCCCTGCCCATGCACCCCAAAAGACATGCATGTGTGAACACCCTAACCTGCAAGCCACTCTTCATCTACATCCCTCTCACTAACAGTCTTTCTTTGTACTCCCCCAAGGTCTGCCTTGGAACTGAGCTCAGAACCACTGCAGCATGGAATTCCAGGGCACAGTCTAGACAGGGGATATGAGTTCTGGGAAGAAATATCCCCTTAGCCCTATAGACTCCATATCTCATGAAGAGAAGCTTGGCTTTCCCCTCTTGTCTGGCCTAAGGGCAGAACTACTATTTGGTTTCCTCAACTCCAGGTCAACTCACAGATAATTTAACTTGCCTTCCAAACAGGCACACTGGCTCAGAACTCCCTAATCAAAATATTATTGGAAATAATATCCACTAGGTCTAGAAGAATATGAGTTAGTGTTGAAAATGTAAATCATACTTTACCTGAATATGTAGTTTAAGTACTGCTGGTCAATGTCACTAAGGAGTAAAGAAAAAAAAATAGTCAATCTTCCATTAATAAATTATAGCTACATCTATAAATTATCAATAAATAGTATGAAGACTACTTCATATTCAAAACCTGTTCCTAGTTCCTTTTTGAAAACAGTTCCTAGTTTAATACTATCATGCACATTTTCACTTATGGTGGTCTATTTCCTTGGAGCACATTTGCCACTTTTAAAGGAGTGTCAACTTTCTGGGCCACTAGACTGACTTTTAAGGCTACCATATTTGATAAATAAAAATACAGAACCCCAAATAAATCCAAACTCCATATAAATGATAATGTATTAGTGTATGTATATTCCAAATATTGAATAGTACACACCTGAACTAAAAAAAATTATTACTTATGGAAATTCAAATTTAACTGGATATGCTGTATTTTATCTGACAACTCTATTGACTTCTTATTGTAAAAACCTTTCATTAAAAGAACAAAAGGTGAGCCTCCCTGGTGGTGCAAGGGTTTAAGCACTGTACTATGAAGCAATCCACAGCCTCTGCAGCAAGAGTTCGTTCCCTGGCCAGGGAGAGACCCACATGGCGCAGCAGACCTCTCCTATCTCGCCCGCTGCTCCCCTCAGCAGTGTATTTCAGTTAATCTGCCTGTTCTGTTCCCCACTCTGTCTCTGGTGAATCCTCTCACACCCACCACATCTCTGGCCTATACCCCAGTTCTTTTATGCATAAATAAATAAATCTTTAAAAAAAAAAAAGAACAAAAGGTGCGCTAGGGATCCAAAGCCACACATCTCAGTGTAGACAACCTTCCCAGGAGTCAATCACATCAGATCTTTTGAGGCCAAGATGGAAACCCAGGGGTCAGCTGGCCAACTTAGGTGCTCTGACCTCACAGCTCCTGCCCACCCAAGCCTGAATTCTAGCCTTTCACAGCTACATTCACAAGGCAGGTCTGCCAACTGCCTGCCACAAAGCCCTCATTTTACTGCACAACACAACTAGTGACTGGGATGATTCCTGGGTTTAAATGAGTTGGGTTAGCAAAGTGCGGAGAAACCATAAAAAAGCAGTGAGCTTCTGAGCTGGAAGAAGTAAACTGGGGCCCAATGCAGCTGGTGACATAATTTTCGTAAATACTCCCTAAATGGCTGCACCTGAGGGAAGAAAACAGCCTTCCGTGCTCTTGGCATCTCTGACAAGTACTGGCGGCGCAGACCTGCAGCAGCCCAATGAAGACATGACTTTGGAGGCTGTGCTACTCCTTGCACTGTAACTCAGACTAGCAGACTCTCTGGCTGAATGTTAGAAGCTCTAGGGATCCTGGGTCTCACCCCTTTCCTTTTACCAAAGGATAACTCACCAAAATAAAATTTTACCTTAAGACATTGGGTTTCTGGGACTTCTGGAGTATCTTATAAGCTCCTGAAAATGAAGCAACACATGTCACTGGCGAAGGGCGTTCTGCTACAGAGGCTGCATGCACGTCCAGGGAAATGGAGCATCAGTATGAATTAGAGAGGCCCCAGAGGTGTGGCTGCCATTCCCCTCTTCCCTACAAGGGTCACCCAACTGCAGACAGGGGGGACCAACACTGAGAGTTTCGATGATTTGAATTCAATAATCCCCTGATAATGCAGCTCAGTACAAAGAGGGGCTGGGAATGGTCCTGACGAACAGAAGCACACAATTAACAGGCAGTTTTTGGTTTCCTTTGCCTGGTATGCCTGAGAAAGAAACATCACCGCATTTCTGAACTGTGTGTAACAAAGTGTGGGCACTGTCCCCGCCCCACCACAGCCCTCCTACCCCACCCAGACTATAGGCAGGAAACACTGAACATGATTTGAAATAGAGAGATGGTCCTTTTATTTCACCCACTTTGGGGAGCGGGGAGGTTTACTGCTGAAAGAGTGCTTTTAACACACTTCTGGATCTCTTCCCATCATCTTTAGAGATCAACCAGCACCCACACGTGAACTTGAGCAAGCAGAGCCCCGAGCCCTGGTAAGTTAATGTTTGTCACAGAAAAAGACAATAATATATTGGAAATGGAAACATTTGAAGAAAATTCCAAAACAGAAATATCAAAACAGAAAACACTCATTTAATTTTTAACCTTGAAACCTTGTGTTTAATCTTCTTGTTGTCTAAGGTCACTAAAAAGCGGATATACAAAAAGGATATACAATAAATAAACCTCAATTATTTAAGAAAGCGTTCTTTCAAAACTTACCTACGCAGAGTAAGTGAATAACAGCCCAGAAATATCCATCTGGATCAAACTGTAACACAGGATTTAAAAAAAGTTTATAAATACAGTAGTCCCGCCATCTGAAGTTTTGCTTTCTGTGGTTTTAGTTTATGATATCAAATGCCCAAAAATAATGCATATTTTGAGAGAGACCCTAACTTTTATTAAAATAAAGTTATAACTGTTCTATTCTATTATTCCTTACTGTTGTTCATCTCTTACTGTGCCTTGTTCACAAGTTTAACTTATCAAAGGTATATGCATAATAGGGTGAAACATGATCTATATAGGTTCAATATTACCCAGTGTATCAGGTGTCCCCTGGGGGTCTTGGAAAGCATCCCTTGCAGGGTGGCACAGCGCCAAATTAGGGTGTCCAAACAAGACTCCTGGGGCCTTGGGCCAGCCCCTCCTCATTTCTTATCCAGGTGCCTAGTACATTTCCTAACAGAGCTCTCTGCCTCCGTCCCTGTCCCCACACCACACTGTGCCTCTAAATAACTAATCTGATGGTGGCATTTATTGCTTAAAATCATTCAACAATATTTTAGGCTAGGTTATTTGTTGAATGCGAACAGCTACCTCCTATTATCTTTTTTTGATATATCGGTATTCAAGTGTAATGGACATTCAATAGAATATACTGTCTAACTGAAAAAAAAAAATTCACTAGTCTTTGTGTGACTTTAAGGTAAGACTCAAACTCATGCTACTCAGGAATCTCTTCACAGGCCCTCAACTCCTCCAGTCCCATTTGCTGCCCCCACCCAGAAAAAGCACATGTATTTCCCAAGCAGAAATACTTCCACAACTCCACCCAGGGCACATGTATTTCCCAAGCAGAAATACTTCCACAACTCCTCCCTCTTTCTTTCTTAAATTTTTCTTCATAAAAGTTTATACCATCTGACACACTCTTTACTTATTATCTGTCTCCATCTCCACACACCTCCTCTCCACTAGACTGTAAATCCTAGGAGTGTAGGGAGGGCACTGGTGCACACACATAGTAGGGGCTTGATCAAGCTGAATCACAGAATATACTGGACACCTCCAGGTTTTTGCCCATACCTGCTTTCGTCTCCTGGCTGACTTTTCCTCACCCTTCAAGATGCTGGTCCAGTAAGCAGAGTCTGGTTTTAGCATCAGAAAGACCTGGATTAAATTCTAAAATCCCCATTTATTCATGGCCCATTTTTCTTTAGCAATGAAATGGAGATAATAATAATAGTCACTTTCCTTGTGGAATTGTGAGATTTTAAATCAAATACATAAAGCATTGGCACAGAGCCTGGCACACAGCAGGCTCCCTATAATTGTTAGCTATTCCTACTTCCTAAGGCCCAGAGTCTTCTTAGGTGCCTCAGCACATCCTATACTTCCCTGGGACAGAGTCCTGGCCTCCCTGGGTTATAATTGTCTGTTTATAGTCTCTCTCCCTCCCCCGTGCTCTGACTAGACTCCAACTTCTGTTGGAGCAGGACAATTCTTCTTCTTTGTGCCCTCAGTGCCTGGCTCAGTGCCTGACACTTGACAGGGACTTAATAAATGCTGGGGGAGAAAAAAAAAAGCCAACAATGAGCTGACTACTAGGGTGGGGGTGGTACTCAGTGCTAATAATGAAAACCTAAAGATAACAAAGTGAAAATCACTCTGCAGTAAGGCCCTTGGAATAAAAGGGGGAAAATCAACTTGGCCTCAATGTGTGAGGCTGGGGCAACTTGGGCGTTGGTTTGTGGTTCTCCAGCCACATAAGGAAGGCAGACTGCACAGACCACAGTACCCAGAGACCAGAGCTCTGCGGATCACACTGTTGCAGCCTTAGGGAGAAGACAAAGGCCTGAAAAGTGTTGACCTGGTAAAAAGGTATCCAGTTTGAAAGCTTTTAAATGCTTTTGCATCGGCCAGTGCTATCCTGATTCTAAAAAGAAGGTCCAGAAATTTCTGCTCATATACACAGGCTTCACAGGGTACAGATACTTGGCAGGCAAGATGAGTTTACCTGAACTCACCTGAGAGTCATTGAAGGGAAGGCATCCCGCTGCGGCCAGGAGGAAGAGGGCACTGTGGAGAGGGAGATAAAATATGTAGCTTCACTTTTCCACATCAAAGTGTTTCACAGAGTGTGTGAAGGCTGAAATACATCAGCTTGAGTTTGGATGAAGCAAAGATTCTCCAGCATCAAACCTAGTTTCCCTGTTCATCCTCTGAGAGGCCCACGACCTACGTAGTTTTCAACTGTGTGCTGTAGTGAAAACCAGTTTCTTCTCTGGTTGCTCAGCTAGCTGGTTTCTCAGAGACTAGGACATTTGCAAAACCACAGCTGGTTTATTTGAGAAAAACAGTGTGCCTGTGAAACATATAATAAAAGGGAATTTTTAAAGCTACAGATCCCCAAAAATAATACTAGTGGAAAATCAGACTATTACATTACTTAAAAAAAAAGAAAACACCATAACAAAAGAAACCTAAATTCACAGAGATGGAAACATACAGGAGGTTACCAGAGGGGTGAGGGGCTACGGGATGGGCTAACTGGATAAAGGGTATCAATAAGTACAAGCTTCCAGCTGTAATACAAATAAGTCATAGAGAGGTAATATACAGAATGGAGACTAAAATCAATGACACTATAAACTTGAAAACTGCTAATAAAAGATGGTAATAGATGTATTATGATGATCATTTCACAATGTGTAAACATGGAATTGTTATATACTAAAAAATAATGTTGATATGAACCATAGTTCAATAAAAATAAAAGTTCTAGTTCAACAACCTAAAGAGAAAAAAAAAAGGAACATGGAAAGCATATTAAAATTTTTTGTGCATCACCTTAGCCAAATGATCAAAACCAGTATCTCCAATAACTAGACAGATCAACATCATGGTGTTGCTGCTGGACATACAAAACCTCAACTGAAACATGAGGAAACAGTAGACAAACCCAAATTGAGGGACAGTCCACAAAACAGTGGACTTAAAACTGTCCCCAATGAGAAAGCAATGAAAGACAATAAAAGACTAAAAACTTCCAAATTAAAGATAACATTTTTAGGGGAAAAGATGACTAAAAAAGACAATACTGGGATAATTGACCCTATTCGAACACAGACTCAATCTTAGATAATGTATTACATAAGACGCTGATTTTCTAAATTTAATAATTACAATGTGGTTACACAAAAGATTGTTATTTTTAGGAGATGCACTCTGAAGTATTTAAGAGTAGGGTCTCTTCTTTGCAACTTACTTTCAAATTGTTCAGAAAAAATAAAAGCATAAAAGTACTGTGTGTGTGTGTGTGTGTGTATTATATATACACACACACAGAGAGAAAGCAAATGCACAAAATGTTATCAATGGGTTAATTTAGGTGGAGGGTATATGGAAGTTCAATGTCATATTCTTTAAACTTTACTGTAAGTTTTAACCTTTTCCTCAAATAAACAAGTTTTATTAGAAAATCTCTTTAACATTTTGCTGCATCTACTCTGAGAATGAAGACCATTCTCAGCTATCAGACTGTCAATATTCCAGAAAATGTTGACATCTCCCTAAAGGGAGGTGCTGTTATTGTGAAGAGGCCCAGAAGCTCGCTGCAGAAGGACTTCAGTCACATTAATATTGAACTCAGTTTCCTTGGAAGAAAAAGAAGATCCAGATTGACAAATGGTGGGGAAACAGAAAGGAACTGAGTGCTGTTGGCAAAATCTGGAATTGTACAGAGATCATGATCAAGGGTGCAACCTGGGCTTCTGGTATAAGGAGAGTGTGTGCAGACTTCCCTATCAACCTCAGTATTCAGAAGGATGGGTGTCTGGTTACAATTGGAATGGGGTGAGGGGCAAAAAATATGTTTGCAAGGTTCAGATGAACTCAGGCTTTGCTGGGTCAAGCCCAGAAAGATGAGTTAATTTGTGAAGGAAATGACACCTAACTTGTATTAAACTCAGCTTCTTTGATTCAGCAAACCGTAAAAGTTAAAAACAAGGATATCAGGAAATTTTTGGATGGCATCTATGGTTCTGAAAAAGGAAGAATTCAGCAGCCTGAAGCATAAAAGCTAAACTATCAGGCTACAGAAACAGTAAGATCCAGGATGAATCCTCAGATCTATTTGTGATCTCTAAGATGCAATAAAAGCCATTATTAATTTGGGAATTTTTCTTAAACAGATTATCTTTTCCAACTGTTCAGCAAGTAAATAGTTCAGAAGCAACTTCTAGTGCACTAAGAGTAACCAAAGGAACACGAATTTTTTTCTAATAAGACTTCAAATGCCTTGAATCTGGTTTTAGAAGGAGAATAAAGGTTGTTCCAGGCAAGAGGAGTATGGTACCAGTGATAAGCAATGGGTGATTGTTCACCATAAGTTATAGAACTTTGGGAAGGTCTGTAATTTTGCAGACACCTGAAGTTGAATATTTGACAGGCAAGTATGCCTGATTCCTTTGTTTGTATATCAGTAACTCTTTATGAAAAGGCAACTGAGATATGGAATAGTGATAATACAGCCTCAGATCCGAAAGCTGCAGTTTGAGTTCATGATAAATATGACTGCTGTCTAAGAAATTCTCAATTTTACCCTCTGCCCCACTTCAGTCCTTCACTCCAACACCCTAATCCTTGACATTTTTAAATTATGCAAGAAAAAACAAGGAGCTAGCAAACATGTAATATGTAGGTCTCATTGAAATCTTAAGTCAAATGAACACTTTTTCATATTTAAAAAAAGAGAAAAATCTCTTTCTGCCTACTGAAATATTTACGCATGAAATATTATGGTGCCTGGGATTTGCCGAAGCCCTGGATGGAGCCATAGTTGAAAACTGCTAAAAGTGGATGACAGGTGTAGGGGCCTTCATTATACTATTTATGCACTTTTATGCATGTTTAGGAATTTCAAAATAAAACATTTTTGTACAAAAAAGTAACATTTTCAATCACAGATATTTGCACAAAGCTAGCCACATTCATTACAATGTTTGGAGCTATCTTTTGATTCAGTAATCAGTGGTTTTCAGTAGATCTCTTCAGGGTTTCATATACCCAGAGATCATGCCCTCAACTTCCCCTAATTATTCTCTCCTCCTGAAAGAAGACCTCAGAAAGCACAAAACTCTAACACAAACTTCTGCCCCTTTCCATTTTATAATACAACAGCATGTATAGTGTTGTACCTTGTCATTTCTGTCCAAAGCAAAGGCTCAAAGGCACAAATAGAGTGAAATCAGCATTTTAGTTTTTGGGGGACTTTGCTTTATGTCATCTCAGAGAAATAACTACAGAATTCTGTATAGAAGTACGTAATGCTAACCACCTCTCTTCACTGACAGCAGTGATACTAATCAATCTTGTCCACACCCAGACAGTGCTCCCTGTTGTCATCACCTGAAGCTGTAGACTGAAGAGACCAGCATGGCCAGCTGAGCCCAAGGCAGAGGGGCTGGTATGAAGGAATCCTCCAACCAGGGCCTGACAGGTGTTGCCAATTTACCACAACAGGGGACAGCCTGAGGCACAGGAAGGTTCTCCACACTAGCCCACTCCATTCCCACAGCCTCACCAACTTCCAAGGCACACAGACAAATGGCCTACCGGAGACTCCGAGGCCCCCGACTCCGGGGAGATTCAGAAGCAAAGGGCGGAAAGAGTGGAGGGTGTAAGGAGGAGTTTCCGGGACTGCACAGGATCAGCAGGTTTTGAGTGGAAGGTGAGGAGAATGCTCTTGGGTTTGGGGTCTAAACTCCGGTGGGAGGCTTTATAGGACATAAGGCACTCCTCCCATCTACAGGCAATGAAAGCTACAGTCTCCAAATGGACAACCCCAAGGGTTAAGGGAAGATGGGGGAGAGCCAGGTATTAGACAGCCATCTTGGCTTTGAACAATACCTCACTCTATCGGGTATTAGAGGACTTTCGTAATTCTCTTTAACACCTGCTAATCTTTTAAACAAAAGGATGAGTTCTGATTTTTTTTTTCTTTCAAGTAGTTGCCTGTAATAAAGACAAGATGGGAGTTGAACAAAAGCCCAGAAATATTTGAAATAAAAAGTCCTAAATCCATGTATCAGAGCACCTCTGTTGATTTTTCTGTCTACAGGACTGAGCTTCTAAGCTACTGTGGAAGAGGGAGGAAGCAGACAGAGAACAAGGTGCCCAGGTAGCACATGGAGGGCAGAGTCCAGCCAAGGAAACTAAGGCCAGGAGGGTTATGGCCACTTTCTCCAGGACCACAACTAGATCCCTGGACTCAAGGCCAGTGCCTTCTCAATCATGGGAAATCTTAAAAACCCAATAAACATTATTTTTAAAAATTGAAGTCATGTCCAAGCTTTCCATTTTCATTCTCATCAGCACTGCACAACTTTGAGCGAAGTTTTGGGCATCAGTGGCTGAAATCAGGAATAACATATTTCAGGAAAAAAAAAAAAAAGAGTACATTTTAGAATAAGACACACCATAAGGGTCAGAATGTTTATAATAACTTCTGTAAACTCTCTGGTATCAATCTTCAATGGTTTATGGCAAAGTTAGAAATCAGATTAAATCTTATATTTTAAAGGTTTGTGGATTTTTTAAAAAATAACTTACCTACAGATCTTTGCAGGAGAAGTTTTCTGTATGAAAATAAAGAGACTCCAAATAAATTTTTAGAAACTTTTTTCCTTTAAAAGAAAATATTTAGATCAAGAAGCAAAGATAGCCTGAGTGAGTTTACTGGGCTTTACAAGCTTGATGCATTTTAGTATTTGTTGGGGCTTTGTCTGCTTGGGCTCATGAATTCGTGGCTGGCTCAGAGGTGCAGAGTTGAGTCACCAGGCAAAGCTTCCCGGACTGCAGCTCCGCCACTCCCACCACGACAGCTAGGTCTAGTCACGAAAGGACAAAATGACGCCAGACCAAGCTTTCAAAAATTCACACACCAAGAAAAGGTGAGCAGAGAAGCCGCTGTAACCTGTACAAGAGAAAAATTAAGCTCGTGTCCAACTTCTATTCTCGTCTGTCTCTTTAAATTTTCCTCCTTAATCCAGCTCTGAGCAGTGCTATAAATTCTCTGGTATGAGGTGTAAATTAAGAAACAGAAGAAAGGAGAAAGGACATTTTACTCCACCCCTACAGAGTAGGAAAAAAGAGCAGACTGGGAAAATCTAAACTTGGCACTTAGAGTTCCCTGAAATGAAGAAATCAGAACAAAGATTCTACCTTTATGGATTCCTTTTTATTATTCAGCTTGAGGAAATTAGTCCTTCACATTGAGGAAGAAAGTTTTGGCAGAGGGAAGCACACATATTTCTATATTGATAGGGAAAGTAGTCAGACAGGATAGCAGATTAATTCTGACCACTTTATAGTTTTGTAAGTTGAGGACAAACTATGATTTATTCTTACTCTAGTTCAAATGGGCATAATGTTTAAAAGTGAAGTGCTGACAGAACTATCTTAAATTTTCATGCATTACTAAATAACCCAGTTTCAGTGCTTATTTTTTTTTAACTTGGTTTTTTATTGAGGTAACTGGCTTACTACATTGTATATGAATGAGAAGGAAAGGATAACACCCTTCAGGTGTTTATGACCACATCACACCCTCCACCAAGGGTTTCATTGTTTTAGTGAAGATTGTGTTTGCTTACAAAGCGGTGGCTTGCATCTTTGGAGCCTTCTATCTGTCACCTGCCTCAGCAGAGGGGAGGCAAAGCCATGCTTGACTCCACTGCCACCTGGTGGGGACATATTCTTCAGCACAGAAAGGACAGCACCTGGATAACTCGCCTGTAATGTCTTATTAAAAGATTCTCAGCTAAATATAACTGTGTAGAGTCCAGGAATGGCCACTGAGCAGGTTTTCTAGGATCCAGCAGACCGGGTATAGGAGGAGTCAGAGTCCTCAGTGGTTTTTTTGTAGGTCTTTTATTGGGATTTACCCGGTACATGGCAGGCAGGGGTACTGGGGGGGCCAGGAGGCTGGCAGGCCTCGCCCCCAGCAAGTCTTCACTCTATCTGGGCTCTCCAAACTTCTCTCAGCTTCTGCTTCTCTTGCTTCTCTCTGGGCTTCTTTTTCGGCGTCTACTGGCGTCACTGTGCCCTTAAAAGCACAGTCTCAGCCCAGGTGAATCCCATCTACCTATGCCCACACCCTATTCCAGGTGCCCGCCATCAGGCATGCATTCAGGACCGCAAGGATCCATCATCTCTCCTGATGGAGGGAGGGCAGAAAAGCCTGACATTTTTCCTTACCCTACAAACTGACACCTCAACAGTTTGGGAGACAAGCAGGAACGAAAAGGAGGTCAGTGAAAAGGGTGTTCCAGCAGTTGCATGAGTAACCCAGCAACTGTGCGGGGCTTACGTTACAGAGCAGCAAAGCTACCCAGTGCCCGAAAGAGCTCAGCCATTCCACAGGAGAGGTTCTTACAGGTTTATTTTTTACTTTTTAAAAAGTAACATTGCATTTGAACGTTACATAAGTTTCAGGTGTGCATCGATATGAATGCACTACATTTTCTTTTTTTTGTCTTCTAATTAAAGGACCCCAAAGCTGGGATTGAAGAGTAAAAACAAGCAATAAATTCATTACTGAATCCATTTCCTCAGGGTTCCAAAGACAACTGAGGAGTTATGTCAGGGCATTCACCTTTCCAGGTTCTTCAATTTCAAAATCACCTTGTTATCTCAGTATGGATCAGTTTAACAATTCAAAAGTATACTGCCAAAAAAAAAAACCAATGAACAGTTAACACTCTGGGTTAGCGACCTTACTCTGAGGGCTACTTCCTCTGTACCCCCATGCTGCTCTAATTGCTCTCACTTCCTTATGGGTTAATTAACAGTTGTAGGGTAAAGAAAATGTCAGGCTTTTCTGCCCTTCCGCCATCAGGATAGATGATGGATCCTTGTCCTGAATGCATGCCTGATGGCGGGCACCTGGAATAGGGTGTGGGCATAGGTAGATGGGATTCAGCTGAGCTAAGACTGTGCTTTTAAGGGCGGCTTCACGGGGGGATGCCAGCAGCCCCAGCCAGCAGCAGCAGAACCTGAAGGAGAAGCCGACGCAGAAGCAGAGAACACCAGAGAGCCCAGATAGAGTAAAGACTTGCTGGGGGCTGGGAGGCTGGCAGGCCTGCCAGCCTCCCAGCCCCCCAGCCAGCACCCCTGCCTGCCATATGCCTGGTGAACCCCAATAAAAGACCTGCAAAACTACTGAGGACTCTGACTCCTCCTTTACCCGGTCTGCATGGGATCAGAAAACCCGCACTGTGGTCAGTCCTGTCCCTTACAACAGTCTTGGATAATATGGTATAGACAGGATACTGAGGCATTGGGAAATCAGGTAAATGGCCCAGGCCTTGGGCCCAGGAATCTAGTGCCAGAGCTTTTATGATGCTTTTCTGCCATTCCACTAGCCAGCCCTGTGCAGTGCAAGTGGCAGCGGTTGGTAGGCATTTTACTGCCTGCCACCAATGGCCCCACTGGGGCTCAGTCTGCTGGTAGAGGCCAGCAGTGATGGCTGATGGCAGTGGTTCCCCTACCACAGCACCCCAGGGCATGCAGCCCCTGGGGCGCCAAGGTACCAGCTCCACTGCTATGGCTCTACCAGCTGCAGGCAGTGGAGTGGACCCTCAATTTGGTGCTTGGATCATGAAATGGATCATCAGGTGTAAGCTATGAGCTGACTGGTAAATGGTCCAATCAGTCACAGGATTGAAAACGGTCCAATCAAACGGGTATGTGTGGGACCTGAAAGAGGATATAAGGCAGGAGGGAAGCAGATTGGGAAAAATGTGCTCGATTTCATTGGGCTCATAGGTTTGCTCGGACAGCTGACTCCTGCAATCTTGGATTTGCTCGCTTCGACTCACTCACTTAGATGGACACTTGCTCACTTGGACTGGATGCTGTCAGAAGCATCTGAAGGAAGAAGAGAAGCTGAAAAGCTTCCAGAGAAGCCAAAGAACTTTGCAGAGGCCAGGGGTCAATTCCTACCTCCGGCCTGCCTCTGACATCACCTGGTGTCAGCGGCGTCAGGCCTGGTATCTCAGAGAGCTGTCTGTTGGTAGTGTGGGCCAACAACTCACAAAGAGCTGTAACTCTAGTGACCAGTAGTGACTGTCACCACTGGCTAGTGCTGTTGACGGGTGACTGGCACTCTGTGACCAGGTCACCACTGACAGCTGTTCATCGTCTGCACCACCTCCTGGGCCTGCTGCATTGTTGCTGTCTGGTCCAGCATCTGGTGCTGTCCATCCCAACCTTCAGACTGTGACTGGCTGGTGCAACGTCATCTCAGTGGCCCTGCCTATGAGCACTTCCAGCTGTGGGGAGTTGGATCCTGGCCTGCTGCTATTGCTGGCTCCCACATGCTCCAGGGCCTTGTTGACAGGACAGTGCCATCTTGAATGAGCAGCCTTTTGTTTAGGATGTCTGCACACTGGACACTGTCTGGGGTGAGAGAGCTGGCCACTTGTGGCCCTGAGAACTTGTTTTCCCTGTTAAATAGCCCCCACCCCTTGTTGTTGTCCCCTGAGCTTGAGTGGTCTTGCAAATGTGTGCATGGGTGAAGAGCCCACAGACAGTGACCTGTCCTCCACTTGGTACTGTCCTTTTGACTGGCTATTTTTCCCTATATCTCTTTTTCTATGCCACTGATGGTAAAAATCTGTTATTTTATAAACTACAAAGAAAGAAAAAACTAGACTAGGACATATCATTGATTGTAAAAGCATCCCAATTTCATACAGTGAAAACTTTTCAAATGTGAATAAAGCAGTACATTTCAAAATTGATGAAATAAGGAAATTTCAAGATACTGTGATAAGTGTCAGAGTAAGGTGTCAGGCTCCTTGAGTGTCAGAAAGGCTCCAACTGCCTGCAGGTCAGCCTAAAGCACCAAGAGCCTGGTCACCACATGGTGCCCTGGTATGTCCTGCAATCCTTGCTCCTTCACAGCTGGATGAGCTTTAGCACAAAGAATCAAATCAGTCTCTCTGATTAGAATGCAGTCCCATTGCATTCAGTATAAATTCCAAATTCCTAGCTCAGGCTCAGAGGCAAATGTCTCTTTCATAGAGGGATACACCAAAGGTGAAGAAACTTATTCTAGTTGGTGTGAGGCAGAGCTGGGATTGGAAAGAAAATGAATTCCCTGGGATGAATTAATGTTCCCAGCACCCAGTGTGAGGCTCTGCCCTGTGCTTCCATGTGGCTCGAGGATGAGCTGCGGGTGGGAATGTTGCCCCAGCAGGTCCATAGTCAATTCCTGCTTATATCCAAGGCCTTGGTTCAGCCCTCGCTTGGACTGAGTTCTGTTGAAATCAGCAAGCATTCCCATATGTTGAACTGAAGGGAAATCAAAACGAGAGTCCTTTAAATTAGCCACCACTGTCAGGCAGTCTTATCTGGAAACAGATGGCTAGAGACGATAGACACTCATTTGGGTCCTAAAAAAAAAATGCATCTTTGAAATTTAAAGTAAAGGAAGAGAAACTAGTATTTTTGCATTATTATTTACCTCTTTCTGAAAACAGTTCTGGTGCCCACAGATGATAACTTCAGCTACATTATGCAAAGTGAGAAACACAGGAATGGCCTGAAAAAAAGCAGAATAAGCATGAAAATATTTTGTTTGATCTCATAATTACATAATTCTAGATTTCTGCTTAAAAATAAAGATCTGTGGGAACTTTTGGCATCCACATATATCAACCTGTCCAGCTGGGCCTCTCTGTTGGTGCAAGGGGTTAAGATGCAGCCTATGAAGCTATCCGCAGCCACTGCAACTCGAGTTTGATCCCCCGATCCCCGGACAGGGAGCTCCCCACATAGTGTAGCAGACCTCTCCTGGCTCGGTCGCTGCCCCCCTCAGCAGTGTATTTCAGTCACTCTGCCTGTTCTGTTCCCCACTCTGTCTCTGGTGAATCCTATCACCCCCCCACACCTCCGCCCTGTACCCCAGCTCTTGTACGCATAAATAAATAAATAAACTTTAAAAAATAATAATACACCTGTCCAGCAAAAGCACTTCTGCAACAGATTGGTGCTCTCTGATGCAGTTCTACTCTTGCAGAGGTGGGTACAGAGGCTTCCTTCCTACAGATATTCTCATCAACAAACTATTCTCCCCACTAGTTCGAGCTCCAGCTATTCTTGTCTGAATGTTCCAAGCACAAGCTGACAATTAGTATCTCACACAAACCCTAGGCTGGCCAATACTGTCACTGTCCTCAAGTTCCCCCAGAGGGGTGCTGGGTACTGGCCGCTATCTGACAGTACAGCATCTGCATTTGCAGGCATATGTCTACTGTGGGTCTCTGCACCTCTACTCCTACAGTTATCCGGAGGTAGACGCTCCCTCTGACATACCAACTCTGTGTGCACCCTGCCTGAGCAGAGCCCCCCCACGTTCTAAAGTCTTCAGTAGGGAAGTGAGACTTTCAGTCTATAACAGAGAGCCTCTGTATTGCAGCTGCCCCTCCCTGTCCTGGGTTGCACTATTCCGGTAATGCTTCAGATACAAACTGGAATTTCTCCTAACCCCTCTGCCATATTGTCCATCTCTGATGCATACAGCAATCATCCATTTGTCATCCAAGGACCTTTGTCTCTAAGTATAATTTGGTTGTAAATATGTGGAAGAGGTGAGCCTGGCGTCTTTACTCTTCTACCACCTTGCTAGATTCCCTTTACTATTGACTTGAAAGTACACTAATAATAGCTACCAATGTGTTAAGTAGTTTATTTGTATTCTTTTTTTTTTTTTAAGATTTATTTATTTATTTATTTATTCATACAAACACTGGGTACAGTAAAAAGCGCGGGAGGGCGAGAGAATTCACCAGAGCCAGAGCAGGGAGCAGAGCAGGCAGAAGGACCGAAGTACACTGCTGAGGGGAGCAGCGGGCAGCAGGAGAGGTCTGCGCGCCATGCAGCCGGGGATCAAACCAGCGCCGAGGAGGCTGCAGGCAGCTTCGCAACCCAGCGCTCAACCGCTGCGCCACTGGGGAGGCCCTTATATTCTCTTATTTAAAATTGCTCCCTACAACTCTATTAGTGGATGGTATCAGTCTGATTTGTAGACAAGGAAACTGGAGCGTTGAAGACCAGGCAACTTGCTAGAGTGTTTGTGGCTACTTCAGGAGCACAGACACGCCCTTGTTGCAGGCCTAACTGCAAAGCCCACTCTGCCAGCCTTGTGTTACAGTGCCAACACGTGTCAAACCTGAGGCTTAATCTTCTTGGACCTATAAATGCACCAAGTCTATTACAACTTCTGCCAAATTCTGCCAGTCTGCTTTCTCCAGTAATAAAACTGGTATGATCTAAAATGGATAAACTCACAGTAAATTCTATACTAGTTTTTAAAAAGGGCCAGCTTCCATTTCTACTTAAATTTTTAAAATTTGAGTTTCTGAAGTTATGCTTTTCTACTAAGAAGTGAGCAGGCTTTAGAGACAATAGTTTCGTGACAGACTCTATCAGCCTCCATAAAAACCTATCAAAAACAATATTAAGGCCATTTGCAGCTTTACTGATTTCCCCTTGACTAACCATGCACAAGTCCCAGCTGAACTACACTAACTACGTTAGTTCAGGAGACCCCTCCCTCCCTCCATTCCCCAGTGACTGATTCTTTTGCAAAACCTGCCCTTTATTATCTTTATTCAATCAAGTTCAATGGGACTTTTATGAAAACATACAAAAGTTGTGAGACAACAGGAATAAAAAGAGCTAATAAATATTGAATGTTTATTAAATGCCAGATACTATTCTCACTGCTTTTACATATTTAGTCTTCATAATAAGTCTATGAATCTATAGATACTATTTATATCCCCATGATGCAGATAAGAAAGCTGAGGGAAATATTCTGGTTCTTTTTTTAACCTGCCTCTTAATTATCAGATAATTTAGATACTTGCTTGCTGTTAAAGAGATCAGAAAAATAAGAATGTTCTTGCATAATGTCAGAACTCTAGGAAAGACCTTAACAACAAAAGGTCATTACCATCTTTCATCAGGAAAAATGACGCAAGATCAACTAATTAATGAGGCCCAACTCATCATTTTTGATGCAAAATGTAATTCAACTATACTGCAGCCAATTCATTTACTTACCTAAGAGCACAATTTACAACTAACTTATTCTTCACATCCATTAACTTAAAATTCAACATTTCATTCATGTATCATTAGACACTTTTCCCTGGCTGTCAAGAGAAATCAGTAACTGTTACTTAAAAATTTCCATTATTCCCTTGCTCTTGAAAATGGAATATTGAAGACTTGATTGTTACTTGTTCAAGAGTTAGAATGACTGAGAACAGCTTTCTATGGAAAAATCCTAGCCCTGCTCACAGGCAAGGCCTTGGGTCACTGCAGAGGTGTGGATGATTCTTTTTTTATTCAATCGCAAGTCCCAGGTGGCTTCTTCATTTTTTTAAAAAAAAAGTCAATCCTACTTTCTCTTTGGGTCATTTTTAAATACGAGTGTGGTCTTCTTCTACAATATAGAATAATTGCACTCCAGGGCCTTACCCAAGAATGCAACTTGAACTGCTGACAGTCCAATTTTATCAAAATTATTCGTGCCAGAAATAATGTTCATAGAGGATGGCCTAAGGCAATCTGCCCAACTGTGAACACAGCCAGATAACCTGAGAGTGGTGGTACAGCCCCAAAGAATTGCTTCTACTGAGCTCTATGCTATGTCACCATACCTTCAAAACACCCTAAAAATCCTTGAAACTAGGTTGTCATCATGTTTGTGATAAGGAAGTTACAAGTTACCAAGTCTATTCTTTATGAAGACACCACTGTGAGCAAGGAAAAGCTTTGTGTTTCTTCAGCAATGGTCCTGACCTTCTTACCAGCACTGACAGTCTTAACAGCTTTTTAATTTGGTTGCAGGAAGCTGAGAGCTGAATTCAATGCCCAGCTGTGTTTATTTTGTAAAATATTCTAAATTTCTAGGTTGTAAGTCCTTCTGTGATCTTGTCTAGTTCTTCGTCTCTTTACCTAGATTTCTTTTTAAATTCTTCACTAAAAATATAGTTACATTTGGGGCCTCCCTCGCGGCGCAAGGGGTTAAGAACAGCACTGTGAAGAAATCAGCAGTCTCTGCAACAAGTGTTCGATCCCCGGCCGGCCTGGGAGCTACCCACATGGTGCAGCAGACCTCTCCTGTCTTGCCGACTGCTCCCCTCAGCAGTGTACTTCAGTCAGTCTGCCTGTTCTGCTCCCCACTCTGTCTCTGGTGAATCCTCTCACTCCCCTCCCCTGCACCTTTGGCTTTGTATGCATAAATAAATCTTGTATGCATAAATACAGTTCTTGTATGCATAAATAAATCTTTAAAATATATATAATCATAATTATTTTATTTTATTTATTTATTTATTTTTATACAAGCACTGGGTACAGTCAGAAGCACGGGAGGGCGAGAGAATTCACCAGAGCCAGAGCGGGGAGCAGAGCAGGCAGAAGCACACTGCCAAGGGGAGCAGTGGGCGGCAGGAGAGGTCTGCACGCCATGTGGGACCCTCCTCCAGTGGCCGGGGAGCAGCCGAGGATCGAACCGGCGCTGCAGAGGCTGTGGGCAGCTTCGCAGCCCAGCGCTCAACTGCTGCACCACCAGGGAGGCCCAATCATAATTATTTTAATCATAATTATTCTTTTAAGTCAATATACAGCCTTTTTGGATGATGGTAGGGTATCTGAATATGTATATTTGTAAATGCAATTTAATTGAGATTTAAGGGTTTACTTTCATTAATTTTATTATTCTGTCACTAGTTGGCAAACTCCCTGGGCAGAGGAGGCTCACACTCCCCTCTCTGCCAGTGACTCTTCAGCTCAAACTTCAAGACCATCTTTGCCCTTTATTTGCAAACGACATAAAGTAGCTGATTCAAACTTAGGAACCTCATTATATGAAAAGGCATCTTAAAATACCCAGAGTTCTTCCAGTGTGGCAAGATGCAAGGGAATAAGAACAGGACTCAGGGTTGGATCAGCCCTGCAGCATCCCATTGGCCATTAGAAATGCATGGGCCAGAACAAAGGACTGATTTACCTGCTTTCAGCGAATTGCTATTTTTCTCATACTTTCTACCCAAGAGCATAGACCTGAACTCAGTTAAACTGAATATGCAATTCTAAAGCACCCTGTAAGGTCCGGAATGGACACTGCGGGTTTTCTATGATCCAATGCAAACAGGGTAATGGAGGAGTCAGAGTCCTCAGTGGTTTTTTGCAGGCTTTTATTGGGATTTGCCTGGTACACAGCAGGCAGGGATGCTGGGGGGCCAGGAGACTGGCAGGCCTCCCAGCCCCCAGCAAGTCTTCACTCTATCTGGGCTCTTCAGTCTTCTCTCAGCTTCTCTCTGCTCTTCTCATGGCTCTGCTTCTCTCTCGGCTTCTGCTGGCGTCCCTGTGACGCTGCCCTTAAAAGCCCAGTCTTAGCCCAGGTGAATCCCATCTACCTATGCCCACACCCTATTCCAGGTGCCCGCCATCAGGCATGTATGCAGGACCGCAAGGATCCATCATCTATCCTAATGGCGGGAGGGCAGAAAAGCCTGGCATTTTTCC